TGGGGGATTGGAGTGAAGATAGTTCAGGGTTCAATGTCCAAAAGATTTCAGATTTCTGGTGATTCCTGAAATGTTTAAAAAAAGAAGCTGCTCACATTCACCTGTGTGTCTCAGTCTGTAAGGTGTTGGTGTGCTAAAGGTTTGTGGTTCACTTCCTAAATTCAAATTTAGCTTAAAATTCAGTGAGTTCTTGAAAACATGAAGAGTTGTAAAGACTATTGAAAACAGCTGCCCATGTAGCTGAGTGTGTAAGGTGCAAGCTTGGAATTCATTAGCATCTGGGTTCAATTCCTGGTAAAGAAGGTCACTTTAGAACTTACGTGAATTCTTAATATCAAGAGCTCTAAAGTGCAAGGTACATGTATTTGTCTGTGTGGTTCATTCAGCTAGATATGGGATTTGCAGCATGGAAGATGTGAGTTCAAACCCTAGAACTGACCTATCAGACATTTAGGTACAAACAATAAAAATGACTAGTTTAAATGTCCCACCAGAACACAGAGTGCGACGGTGACTTAGTGGGATTCACTTTCATAATTCTCCAGCAACTGGTTTGAATCCCGTTCAGTGAGTGGCCTGGGGGTAGCACATGCCAACCCACTGAGCTCCTTTACATTGTCCACAAAAGTCCTGGAATTATAAACCCCAAACAGCAGGTGGCAGCGTTATTGCATGGTCCCATTTCCACTCCACTCGGTGGCGATAACGCACCAAGAAGTGACTTGCTATCTACTCCAATTCTGCTTGAAGAATAAGAACATGTGGTCATGGCACAAGTGTTGCACTAAAACCCACTAAAATGGCCTATTGTTAGTTTTTTTTTCATTTCCTTTCTTCTTTTTTGATGAAGGGGGAGTGTCACCTTTCACATAATCATTCTTTTTTTTTCATTTTAGTGAGTTTTTGTGCACCACATGTGCCATTGGCTGTGTTCAAGATGAGCCAGCTCTGCGCGGATTAGATCAGCGGTGATCGGCGAGCAGTGCATGCCGGTTAGATTTGTGTCCGACTTGACGCCGACTTGCTCTGACGTCATGCGTACGTAGGCAACGATAACCTCGTGAGATCAAGGCGACCGCAGATTTTGGAGCAAGGCGCTGCAGATGCTCTCCATCGGCTGCAAAACCTAGAGGATGATGGGAAACGCCTGGCTCTCACCTGATCTAAGATCTGATTGGTTCATATTTTGATCCAAACATCCGGTGGTAGAACATGAAATGTTAGTTGGTCACATGTATTCTGTAAATCATGTTACGTTGATGATGGCAACTATATAGGCCATAAAGAGGAACGTGATTTGTGTTCTTTTGTCACGTTTCCTATGAGCACACTGAAGCTACAGCTGCTAACCTTTACTTATTATTACACTCGTGTCTCCATATAGAATATATGATATCCACAACAGGTGAGGATGTGTTTCAGCTGCTAACAGGCACCAGAATTAAAATTGAAAATTAAACAAGTGTGAACGCTAACACAATATCTTCAGCCATCGTCACCCCCGAGCTACACATGCAGGAAATTGTGTCCGACTTAAACGCCGGCTTTCAGCCACTCCCCCCGCTGCTTCCATCTGCTCTCATCTGTTTTCCAGGCGAGGCGCAGCTCAACTCAAACACGGCCATTATCACATGTTCTTATTCTTCAAGTGGAATTGTGGTAGATAGCAAGTCACTTCTTGGTGCGTTATTGCCACCTACTGGAGTGGAGTGGAAATGGGGCCATGCAATAACGCTGCCACCTGTTTTTATTTGGCGATAACGCACCAAGAAGTGGCTTGCTATCTACCACAATTCTGCTTGAAGAATAAGAACCATGTGGTCATGGCACATGTGGTGCACAAAAACCAACTAAAATGGCCTATCATTATGTTTTTTTCATTTCTTTTCTTCTTTTTTGATGGAGGGGGAGTGTCACCTTTCACATAATCATTCTTTTTTTTCATTTTAGTGAGTTTTTGTGCACCACATGGGCCAAGATCACGTTCTTATTCTTCAAGCAGAATTGTGGTAGATAGCAAGTCGCTTCTTGGTGCGTTATCACCACCTACTGGAGTGGAGTGGAAAAAGGACCATGCAATAACGCTGCCACCTACTGTTTTTGTTTCATCCTGGTCCCATTTCCACTCCACTCCAGTAGATGGCGATAACACACTAAGAAGTGGCTTGCTATCTACCACAATTCCGCTTGATGAATAAGAATGTGGTCATGGCACATGTGGTGCACAAAAAGTCAATAAAATTTAAAAAAAGAATGCTTTTGTGAAAGGTGACACTCCCACTTCATCATAAAAGAAGAAAAGAAATGAAAAAAACATTATGATAGGCCATTTTAGTGGGTTTTTGTGCACCACATGTGCCATGACCACATGTTCTTATTCTTAAAGCAGAATTGTGGTAGACAGCAAGCCACTTCTTGGTGCGCTATCGCCACCTACTGAAGTGGAGTGGAAATGGGACCAGGACACTTACTACTAATTATCTCTGTTTGACATGGTAAATGGCCTGTATTTGATATAGTGCCGTCTAGAGTCTTGGAACCCACCAAGGCGCTTTACAACACACTCATTAATTGACAACCTGGTGGTGATGAGCCTGATTTAATCCACAACTGCCCTGGGGCACACTGACAGAGGTGAGTCTGCCATACACAAGTGCCACCTGTCCCTCCAAACACCACCAACAAAAACAAAGTTAACGTCATCACACTGCGGTGAAACTTGACCCATCCCTGTGAGGAGTGGTGAGCTGCAGCTGCATTAAGGAACTACTTAATGGTTAAACTCCCAAATGAACTTTTAATTGTGGGATTGAATCTTAAACTTTCAGCACTCCAACCAAACACCAAACAGACTGAGACACACACAGGAGTACACCAGTAGCTGCTTTTTTAGAACATTTCATGTTGTCAAGAAATCACCAGTAGTCTAAAAGCATCCAAAACTTGAACCCTGAACTACCTGCACACCAACCCAACACCATACTGACTGAGCTACAAGGTCCAGGTGAAGCCTGCTCCATCTGGAAAAAAATATTCTGATCCAGAAGAAGTTACCAACCTCTGATTTACTCCAACATCTAGTTCCCACATCAGTTCTTTAGTGGTTTAATGTTTCACCATGAATAAAGATTTATGTGAACTGAATTTAAAATGCAGTTAAATAACTCATAAACTGTTTTTGGGTGACTTGAGATTTGGACTCTGTCAGTCAATCACTGATTCATAAAACAAGTCAACAAGTCAGCCTCAGAAGTAACTTGGTCTATAAGTTACTTGAATGAATGGTGAACAGTTTTATTTAATCCCCATAAATACATTTCTCGTGTGTAACATTGCGCCCTACCATTTACCAACAGATCAGATGCTTTTTTCTACATATTGAATAAAACACCGTAAGAGTACATTTAATTTAGTTTATCTGTACACATACTTTCTCTTCACTTATTTTACATAATTAGTGATGTCATCGACCCTGAGGTTTCTATGAGTTTGGATACTTTTCTGCAGATATAAATGTGCAACTACTTCTGTAATGCAGACAACTTGAATTTGATCAATATGAAATGAACCATATAAAATACAGATAAAAGCTAGAAGTGTAATTAAATCCGTCCATCCATCCATCCATTTTCATCCGCTTATCCGGAGTCGGGTCGTGGGGGCAGTAGCCTAAGGCGAGAGGCCCGGACTTCCCTCTCCCCAGCCACTTGGGCCAGCTCCTCCGGGGGAATCCTAAGGCGTTCCCTGGCCAGGTGAGAGACATAGTCCCTCCAACGTGTCCTGGGTCTACCTTTAGGTCTCCTCCCGGTTGGACGTGCCCAGAAAACCTCACCAGGGAGGCGTCCAGGAGGCATCCTGGCCAGATGCCCGAGCCACCACAACTGGCTCCTCTCGATGTGGAGGAGCAGCAAATCTACTCCAAGCCCCTCCCGGATGACTGAGCTTCTCACCCTGTCGCTAAGGGAGAGTCCAGCCACTCTGTGGAGAAAACTCATTTCGGCCGCTTGTATCCGCAATCTCGTTCTTTCGGTCACTACCCAAAGCTCATGACCATAGGTGAGGGTAGGAACGTAGATCGACCGGTAAATTGAGAGCTTCGCCTTCTGTCTCAGCTCTCTCTTCACCAAGACAGACCGGTACAACGCCCGCATCACTGCAGATGCAGCACCAATCCGCCTATCGATCTCACGCTCCAGTGTAATTAAATATAAATCTAATTAAAACATTTTTGTACGCATGAAATGACTAATTAGGGTCCCCCACCAGTGTTAATCACTACTAGAACAGAAAGATGCACATTGATCTTTCATTTGGGCAAACTTTTCAATAACTCTTCTATCCAATAATCCCAAATGTTTTATCTCTGATAGCAAGAAGCTAATTTTAGCCAACATAAAAAAAATTGACTTTATTCACTTTCAGATAACCAACACTAGATGGCAAAACACTTATGTCCCTTAGAACATTAACATAACGTCATGTTTGCTGCACCAGTAGTTTGACTGGATAATCTGAGCTTGGGGCTGTGTGGTTTGTGCCCCACAGACGCTGATGGGCCGGCCCCAATCTCTGATGTCTGGAGAGGATTTGACCTGTCAGTAATCTGGACAAGTCTTTGACATGCATACACAGATGTTTACAACAGAATCATCTTGGTAGCATAATGGATTATTATACATCATTTCCCCTAAATGAACAGTTTTCATTTAAGCGTGCATGGAGCTCCACGGTGACATCTGGTGGGGTCCAGCCCCCCTGGACCAAAATGCTGAGACGTCACTGCTCATCTCTGTTCCCATGCTGCTTGGCTTCATTGCATCTCCTCACCCCGCCTCCCCCAGCCTTCTCCGTTTGTTATGACACAAGCAGATCGATGGAAACCCGTAGCAGCACGTGAGGAACAGGCGGGCCAAGCATTTATTCAGAGGCGGGGGATGCAATTAGTGGTCAGTTGGCCTGCAATGCTTGTTTTATTTAGCTCTTCATTGTTTCCCCTGCAGGTGACTCTCCATAGCTCATCTGCCCTCCTGAGCATTCAGTGAGATGGGCGGATCTGTGCGCCCCACCATGGCCTTCCCATCAGCCCCCTCTGCTCTATGGATTGTCAGCTTATTGACTGTACTGTTCACAGCTGTGGTTCACAGCGACAATGTTGGTGGTAAGCACATTTATTTCTCTTCATCTATCTCTCAGTGTCTCCTGGGGGCCTCTGACCTCCCCGACCCTAGCTGTCTGTCTCCGGTGGCGCTGCTCTATCTGTTGACTTCAGGCCTTTTTGGTTGTTGTTTCTTGTATTATGAAAAGAGAAGCATGGAAGCGTTATTAAACACATGGGACACTCCCTCCTCCCTGGACCCTCGGTGGAATTTCTGCCGTTGTTTTTGAGGGACGTGCATGACTTGCACGTGGGCTCAAGTCCCAGCACTCACACATTACAGGTTCCTGCCAAAATGACACAGCTTCCCTGAAGCCTATTTTCTCCATCCTTAGACACATTCATCCAAGAAGCACAAATCAGGCTCTGGCTGGCTTTCTGCCTTTAATGTTCTCTCTCTGTCTTAAGACCGAATGCTTTCTCCGTGTTAGAGCTTCATGCAAACTGCAGAAAAGGCGTGAGCATCTAGTGCTTACTCAGACGGCGTTCCAAAGCACACGCTCAGCCCAGATACAGAACACTCGTCATGGCTGAAGCTGTAACCGCAGCTGAAGCGGACGGTAAGATAGGATTTGATGAGAGAAGCACTTTGTAATGATATCATCCCTGCTGTGAAGTGAGCAGCAATAACACTGTCCGGTGTGCTTCCCAATTACATAACTCTCATGTGACTGGCTGCCGGTAATACAACCTTTAGAGGGCAGCTGGTACCACAGACAAAACTCTACACCATGATTGGCTCCTCAGCCATAGAAAATTGATTGACAGAGGTAGAATCCATGTTGCCATTGTCTCAGTACAGTTGGGATTTAATTGCTCAGTGTTTGGCACAGGACTGTGAGATCATTTAGCAGGCAACTTGTCTTCTGACAGACATATTCTGATTTGCATTTGGAATATACACCCTCACAGGCTCATCGTGTTCACTTGTGCACACAATTTGTACATTTATGTGCTTGAATACATGTGGAAGTCTGCAGATGCAAGCCCACACGCAATCATTTACTCTTCTTTGACATTGCTCATCCATATCAGTAAAAGGATGCATGCTTGAGAAGAAGTGCATTTATGTATGATTTGAGGGGAGGGAAATGACCGCCGCAGCTTTCCTCCATTGGTCAGCCAATGCAGCAAAAAGCGAGGTACAATATTGAAACTGGGACGAGGTAACAGTTTAAGAAATGCAGAGCCCAGAAAGCTGTTAAAGAGGAGAAAACGACCTACGGATGGCGTCGCTTGTCAGAATCCTGATCCCGGCCTTGTTGCTCATCATGGAAACCCAGGTAGTCGTTATCTGGGTCCAAAAATGGTTTTGACTCTCATCCAGAAGCGTGTCAAATTTGATTAAGGTGTGCCCACTGGGAGGCCTGACCATGCATGACCAATTCTTGCTTTGGTTTCACCTAAGCACTATTTTACATTATCACGTCAGTCATAGAGCGTAATTAAGGCTGAGATGCCTGACAGCATTTAAGAGATGAGAAAACACGTCAAAGAGTCAAATTGACTGAAGGATGGAGTCGTGACTTAACAAGAATTTTATTGTTCTCTTGGTAGACTTCGTTGGTTGCTTTTTTCTTTTCCAGCCAAATTAATGTAATACATCTATTTTACAGTCAGAATCTATTCTTTGAAAAATGTTTGAATTGTAAGGAAAACAATAGATTTACATGCAGTTTGTCTCTCCAAAACATGAAAATGAGACGACGTATCGACAGACTTCTGTAAGCAGTGGCACGCCCAGAAAAGTTTTATAGGGGTGGCCGTGGGGCCAGATAAAATTTTGGGATTGCACACCAAATTGATCTTTGTGGTAAATCTGTGAAACTTTAGCCTGTAGTGATGCAATAAATGCTCCTTTATTAATTTTCATTAAAAAAAAAACAACTTGTGTGGACAGTGTGGCCATGGCCACCCCTTGCCACCCCTTGGGGGCGCCACTGCCTGTAAGCAAACAGGGAGGTGGTTCTCATTAAACACCAAAAATAAAACAATACCAAGAGTACTTTTGTAAATCATGTCGTTTTGCACATGACTTCTGAGGGATGCTCTAAAAGTCGGGTTGAAATCTGAGCAGGAATTGTGTTTAAGCCCACGTTCATCAGTCACATCAGCAGCGATCAGTCTTTTCAGCATTGTTTAGAAACTTCTGCAAAGCCACTAAGTAGAAAATGGATTAGGGTGGTTGAGTGGTCAGATAATTTCTTGTCATAATGGAGAAGTCCATGCAAAGAGGACCCAGAATAGAAAAGGGTCTACTTAGCATAAATAATTCAACATTATATATCAGAGAGGGGAAATGATGAGCTCAGCAAATCAATGTTAGAGCAGATAAACCATCAGAGAGCAGGCCAGCCCATTACTGCTGGAATTAGAGTGCACTGTGAATTAAAACTGTGGGCTTTTCTGCATCAAACAAAAACAGAGAAACACAACAAAAGCTTCTGCCATCCTGCCAGGGTTATTTTACACCAGCTAGCCGGCCGGCTGTGTGTCATGTCTGTTTAAACTTTTGATCAACCCTGAACTCCCAAGTCTCCCATCTCTATTTCATGTATGTCAAGAAAAGGACGGCATTAGCTGGGTTTTGGTCCCGACTTATCAGAGACCTTCCTTAGAGCAACTGAGCGAATCGGGGAGACGCTAATTGCGCACCATTTGACATATCCATTTCCACAGCTGGATGTGCAACCATGTGCCTCTCAGAAGGGCACAGATTAGCCATGCAGTTGGCCGGCTGTGCTCTGGTTCTGTAATGTTGACCCAACTACCCAGGAGGTGTGATGGAGAGAACGGGGTCTGTCTGTTGGAGCACTCAGTTCACAATGAGTGGAGGAGCGTGCTGCGACCTCCCATCAGCCACCTGGCCCTCACACCCACGGCAGCCTGATCCTACACCCCAGTAGGAAGTTTGCTTCTGTGACAAGAAACATGCTTAATTGTTTATTTACTCTGTGAGTTCTGCCAGTCGGTACCATTGAATGAAACCGGATGCTTCCAGCCAAGGCCAGTAATGAATAAAGATTAAGAGAGCGGAGCTGTGTGGACCGGTTGTTAGCGCACTAAGATTTACAGGTGGGACGACTCAGCGTGTCTGCCAGCAGTTCACTTTATTCTGCAACAAAACGTGTTCCTCCCCCCCTGGACAAACTCTCTCTCATCGGCTCAAAGCCCACTTCCTGTGTGCACTGCTGTTGTTTGCTGCTGACTTCCTGTGTGCCAAGATGGGGGCATGTTTGGCTAGTGCAGAGTACAGCTAGCACACAGTAGCAGTAGGTGGTTTGGATGAGAGGCCTCTGCCTGTTAACAAGGCTGACTGATAAGCAGTGACTCATTAACAAGCTGAGGTACACAGTGCCTGGGGGAATTACCGCCTAGCCACTGTGACATTAATAAGAGGCCTAAGCTATTTTTCCATTTGGCTCCAGTGGCATAGGACTAAACTACTGATTTTTCTTCTCTGTGCTGGCTACTGCAGCTGTGGTGCTATTGTATTTGTTTCAGACACTAGTGGTTACCTGGGTGAGCATGGGCAGATCCGTGTTATCAGAGTGGGCTACAGGTAATGGCATCTGCTGCTTCAGTGGAAAACCAGACACTCCTCATTAACTTTCTCCTGCTTCATTCGGAAACATCTGGAGAGGAGCCAAATTAATGTTTCTATTCCTTAGTGAAGAAATCCATCCCATGTCCTAACAGACCCTAGGTTTCTGTTCTTATGGCTGATCAACATCCTGACTCTCTTCAAATCCGATTAACCGATAAAAGCACACTCAACGTGTCACGAAGAGCCTTAAGCCATCTGTTTTCCATCAGAATTCTCCGCCCAAATCTGCATTACTCCCATTGTCTTGTGTTTTTATCCGTCTTTGATCCTGTAAGCATCCCGTTGTCCAGATCAGCTTCTTGATTACAAATTGGATCCTGATTGGCTGACATTGGATTGCAGCTGATTCACATCTGGCAAAAACCCAATTATTTCTCCTGTTCCTCTTGCCGATTAATTAAGGCGCGGTGGCTGATTGATTAAACTTCTAACAAAGCACATGCCATGGAGCGCTAGAGCCAGTGGGATCACACATTATACCTATTGATGCGTGCTCATGCTATCGCCATGGATTTGCAGACATGCTGAGACATTACATATGCATCGGCGAGGGAAACTCAAGGCTCAACAAGGCACGAGTGCTTATGTGTGTGTGATGATGTGTGGCTAAATTACGCAGAATTAAAATGCAGTGGCACATCACCGCAGTCGGATCTTAGAGGTATCAAGAGCACCCAAACAAGACTCCATTAGACCTTATCAGTTTGAAGATGCTCACATCCACCCAGACCCACTCAGGCAACGTGAGATTACATCAGAACAGATCCATCTTGCCTTTCTACCACTGTAATAACTGCAAAATGCCATTTAGTCAATGTAAAAGAGAAGGGCTCTTGAGATTTTGCAAGATGTTAACAGACTCTGCTTCCTCTCAGGTGCTACAGAAGACAAATCACACTGCAGCAGCCCAGGGTTGAAAAAAATAGGGATCCCACATTTAACAAGCTGCCAGCTTTAAACCATCACTTCACACAGACGGCGTGGATTAAACAAAGCAAAAACAACAGCTTTGAAATACATTAAGTCACCTTATTCTCAACAACAAGAGCTCTTGTTGTTGCTCCTAGTTGGCTTTCCCTTTGATCAGGTTGCTCTCTTTCAAACCCACACCACATCCCACCTGCTATCTGCTACAATTCTCTCTGGGGTGTTTTAATTGATTGCTGCTGAGATGGAAATCATCCTTCTTGTCATTGATGCATGGCTGGCCACACCAAACGGGCTTCCTGGTAAGGTGTATCTGTTTGTTGAAGCCAATCAGTGTTCCGCGTTAAACTCCGGCTATGATGGGGCGCTGGGAGACGAAGGGGCCTGGCTGTAGAGTGCAGCGTTTTGTATCGATCCAGTCTGAGTGCTGGGGGTTTCCCCCTGAGCACAGCAGCTCCACCAATGAAAC